ATACATATTTATATATATATACATATATATACATATATATATATATATATATATATATATATATATATATATATATATATATATATATATATTTATATATATATACATATATATTTATATATATATATATATATATATATATTTATATATATATATATATATATATATATATATATATATATATATATATATATATATGGGTCATTCTCCTGAAAAGTAACATTTTCAATAAATATTTATTTAAAATTTAAATAATAAAGTTCCCGAACCAAATTTTTTGCTGTTATAGCTTTAAGTATATTTAATTATTTCTAAGTATCCGCACACCTCGTTAAATGTCAGTTTACAAAAAAACAATTAAATACTTTTAGCGTAATTCACAGGCTTGACAAATTTACCACAGATGTGACATTATGAATAGTATTACTTTATGCTGTAACAGCTATAAATGTCTGTCAGGGAATTTACAAAAATAATAACCATCTTTTATCAGCAGTTTTTAATAGTTGATATAAAATAGTACATGGTACAAGTTTTTACAATATTTTTAGTATTACTAGTGAGTAAGTTAGCAAATGTTTTTGAATTGTAAATCTTGTTGAAAACAATATTGCCTCCTTTTATTAAGGTTTGGCAGGCACAATTTTAACACTACATTACTCTTATCAATGACAGAGATGTCATCTTTTTTTGAAAACGTAAATAATTCCTCGCCAGATCTTCTCAAAAACTTTTTGAAAAACTCATCTGCACCTAAGACTTGAATTAGCCCAACATATTATTTCACTTTTTTATTTTTTTGATGTATGAAACTTGACTATTACAAAATAGACAAGCTGTTCTCCTCATTTTCGCTGTAAACACTGTGGTTACTTAGTCTTGTCAATTTCTTTTCACATTTACCCGGTCCTTGGGATTCTTGAGCCAAACATTTGGATGTTGTTTCTTCAGCTGGCGTTTTTTTCATTTTCAAGAATTGTTCACATGCTAAACCATGTTAAGGAATTTCTTAAAACAGAGGCACAAAAAATTATTAATGAAACAGAAACAAGTTAAATAACTTTTTTACATTAAAGATTTCATACACAGCTTATTTTATTCTTTAATGAAAATACTAGAGTAACTGAAAAACTAAATATTATACAAACATTTTTACTGACTAAATAACTAAAGAACATTTACGAAATGCAAAAGTTTGCAGTATTCAATATAAGCAAATATAATATTTAATATTATGTTTAATATAACACAATATTCAATATTAGGCAAACTTAAGATTCTAAAATATATAAATTAAAAGGATACGAGGATGGAGATGTTTCAAAGTGATGAAGATGGAAGATGATGTGTCAAAGTTTTAATTCTTTGATTTCGAGATGGTGGATTTAGTGTTAAAGTATGGGGCTGTTTTAGTTTGAATGCCACAGTTGACTTTGTGAATAATAGCAGGAGTAATGACAATAGTAGATTATTTGTACTCTAACAAATTATTCTATACTTTCGGAAAGATGGGTTAATGAGAAGCAATTTATTTTTTCAGAAAAAAATAACTCAATGCTTAAATCTAAAAAGAATTTTCAAAAAATTGTTTAAGTTAATTGACTGATTTCGATCAAATATTAAATAAAATAACACCCCAAATACATATTCTCTCTCCTTTTAGTTTTTTATGGCAGGAATGTCAAAAACTAATGCTTAATGCATTCTTATGCATAAGATGCGTAAAAAGCTTATTAGTTAGTTGCATAAAATTGACCTGGACAAATTGGAAAAATCGTTAAGTACACTTTAAAAAAGTTCCGGTAAATTGACGGAAATTTCAGGCAAAATATCTAAACTACTTCGTGCCGTATGGAACCAGACGAACATTTAGGTAAAGTACCTGAACCTAAACTGGTTTAGGATTTTTACCTGAATCTGAACTGTTTTAGTTCCGGTGTTATGCATGAACCTGAACCAGTTCAGGTTCAGGTAAAATGCCGAAACCTGAACCAGTTCAATTTCAGGTATTTCACCTGAATATTCGTCTGGTTCCATACGGCACGAAGTAGTTCAGGTATTTTGCTTGAAAAGCGTAAATATTAAGTAAATATTCCAAATCGCGATTATAAACTAACTTGGTTTATGCGTAAAATTAACTCGGTTTAGGCGTAAAAACGATCTTTGATTTTCAGAAAGGCAATATATTTAAAAGTAAAATTTATAGCAATAACAACGTAACGTAGCGAATTATATATAACTTAATTATAATTAAAATATAACTGTTTCCGCATTTGAAATTGATTAAGTTTTTGTCTAAGGTAAAGAGACAAGTCACTTGCTCCTCTCGATAGATGCATTTCATCTTGGTAGCCTAACACGGTATGTTGCAAAAAATACAATATGTGGCTACATTGCTCCGCATACTCCATGTTATTAAAAAATAAAGTTTAATTAAGATGTCCACAGCATAAGATATACATCTGTTCACAGATGTATATCTTATGCTGATTCATAACATAGCTCGATTCTGTAACAATAAATATTTGGTCGACACTACATTGAGTACCCAAAGCTATGACTAACGGATGCTTGTGAGTAAGACTTTGAATGATAATTTCCATCGGAGTTAAAGCCTATTTGGATGTAGAAAGGAAATTAAAATAAGTTATTAAAAAAATAATTTGGTTGCATAAAATCACTTACAATTTTGAAATATGTATCACATATATGTGCTGATATTTATAACACATATATGTGCTGATATTTATAAATATCAGCACATATATGTGTTCTACATTAGTTCTAAATTGTATACAATTTAGAACTAATACTATAGTATTTAAAACTTAGAACTTTTAGAACTAATACAATAGTAAATACATATATTTACTATATTTGATAACTAAAAATACAGTAGAATCTTGTTAAATGTTAACCGTTAAGTCAGACTATTGATGTTTTCCCTCTTGAGAGTCCGACTCTCAACGGGACATTTTTCTGTATAACAATGTCAACAACATGTAAAGCTATTAAGTATATATTATTATACATATTACTACAAACTTAGTATTATATTTAATATGTATGATTTACATCTAATAGAAATATATTATTCCAATATACCCGATAAAATTGAATAAAATGATCTGCAACTTCAGCAGCTGATGCTCAACTTTTATTCTTTGATGGTACTTTCATTATAAAGGGGAGTAATAACAATGCAAAATCAGTTGCTGTTCCTGAATTTAAAAAACAAATAATTTTTTTAATGAAATCATTTTATTAACTTATAATTTATTAGAATAATTTTACATATCAAATATACCTGGCCATATTGTTTTATAACACTTAGAAGCCTATAGATGGGTTGTCTTGCGTATCAAACTCAGCAAGAATCTGCTTCACCATCAAATTTGTCTTTTGTCTTGCCCAAGAGATAACATGTGGCGTTATTTTTTCCCAATGAGCCAAAAAATCATTCACTTCTGGGAAATTGCAACAGAAATCTTTCTGAAACTAATATATGAGTATAGTATAAGACTGCTAGTAAAATTTTCTTTAATTTTATAATACTTTAGCAAAACCTATATGACAAAAAAATATTTAAAAATTACAAGATGTATCTTGTATGAATTACAAGACATATTAAATTTTTTATTGAACGATTTTAAATATTTTATGGTGAAAAGTTTCAATCATAATATAGTGATTTTTATTCTTACGTGAATTGCTAAATCTTTTAGTGGCGGAAATATTTTGAGTAAATCATCAAATGTAGGCCTACAAGTTACGATCCATTTTCGACGAGAGCACGAAGTTTTTTCCATATAATCCAATTTTCTTCCATAGCCTAAGTCGTCAAATCTTAACTCTCCAATCATACTTAGTTCTTCTTTTGAGAAAAGTGCTATACAAAATATATATATTTACAACAACTACATTTAATTTAATAAATTAAAAAAATTATTTTTCAAAGTTTAGATATATGTAAAATGTTTATTTTAGCTATATTTTTTTTATTTTATATATATATAATTTATAATGAAAACTAATTACAATCCTGAGTATTAGGTACAATCCTGAGTATTAGGTAAATGTCTTAATTCAACAAAGAAAGAGTGTTTTAAAAATTTACAAAACATTAAAACACCTGACGCTTGGAACTCTTCTGTACATGAACACCAAGATGTTTACGAATAGTTTTCAGTCTCTCTTCTATGTGACCATGAGGAGTGACCTTTTTTTTTATTACCTACTATATACTCTGTATATGGGCTATAATAATTTTCTTAAAAATATGATTTTTTTGATTAGATTTCATTACCTTATATACAACTTGACTTATAATTGACAAATTGTGAATATAAAAATACTAATAATAATAAGTTTACTTCTACTACTAATAATCCTCTATTGAAGTGGCCCCCTCGGCCACTTCAATAGAGGATCCTCTATTGAAGTGGCCCCTTCGGCCTTGGGGAGGTAAAACAAAAATGAAAAAAATTATTAAAATGTTTCTAATAGTCTCACATATCTAAATTTTCCACCAGAATGCAGCTTTGGAAAGACAGTGATAATAGCTTTTGCAAGATTAGATTTGGTTTTTGAAGAAGGATACCTAAAACATATATAGTAACAAAAATATTTTTATATCCAAATTTATATTAGGCTAATGTTTAATAATTTTTGAAAAATGACTTTATAAAAAAATTTTTATAAACAAAAATTTTCAGTGCTACGTCAATACTGCCGCCCTAAGTAAAAACGCAGTAAACAACAAAAATGACATTCTGAGAAAAAGCCACTTTTAAATTTTGTGTGAACCTTACTTGAATATAATAATTAGACTTTCATGCCACATAGATTATGAATACAAAATACTTCCTTTATTCAATGAAAATTTATATTTAACCAAAACATCAATATATAGGCTGAAAAATCACACACTGCTAATTTACACAATATTTCACAGCCGTCATCCTAGATAAAAACGCAGTATAATCAATACAAAAATGCATGCATACTCCAATATATATTTTTTCATAAATATCAATGTGTTTTTATAAAAGGCATTGTTAATCACAATCTAGCTTGATAATCAATGGTTTCCAAACAAACCTTAATTAATAGTGGAGTTATAACATAGAGCTAGACTGCGTCTAATTAATAGGAAGAATTTTGAGTAAAGAATACTTACAACCAACAAATATGATATTTATAACAACCAGTCCAACCCAGCAACATATTTTTTCCACGAATATCAAATAATACCATTCTCTTACCATTAGTTAGGAGTGCACTAGGGGCTCAAAAACCACAATTTACCCATTATCAAATTAATAATCAGTCTTTCCATCTCTTATTTTGTCAACTTCATTCAAAGTGTGTATAAGGTAGATAAAGTAAATTAGATTTTTTAAAACGTTTTATTAGAATAAAAAAATACATATATAATTGAAAAAATATATAATATAAATGAAATTATATATTTTTTAAATTGTTCCAGAAAATTCTCCTGCTGGCTGGCATTAAACTCGATAAATTCGACAAAATATCATCGATTTTGTCTTGAGCCACCCCACGAGGCTTGTCCAACTGTGGAGGTTTTGATATTTTCATTGTTGATGATTTCTTACAGAGGAAGTCTAATTGTTTTGTAAACTCCTCCGTATGAGAAGTTTTGTATTCCATTGTAAATTTACCTCTGCGTGTTCTCACTGCTACAATGTTCTTCAGATATATTTTTTCAGAAGATTTCTTTAACTTCTGTTGGGATTTGTTATCTTTCCACATGTATATATCTGAAAATGTCATTTCTTTCACATCCACCTTCCCTTTATTAGCATTCTGTACAGCTTTGGAAAAATCAGGAAAATCGTAAACTTTTTGTTTCTTCATGGAGAGCTCCACCTGATGATGAAAACTGTCGGCACTCATATATGTATGTCCTGGCTCAAAGTATTTTAGTTGTATTTCATCCATATCTACTTCATCACTATTTACAATACATACTAAAAAAGACAGAAGGCACCAATTTTTATTTTGGCTCGAACAATTGTCGAGCCAAAGTGTAATCTTTTTCGAGTCCCTCTGCCTCAAAAAAAAAGCATAAAATGTACTAACAATGTCCTCCTTGTTCCTCCCAGTTACACCTTCATGCCATATACATGCCATGGGAACACCATGTGCTTTCTTCCCAAGAGGAACGAAACTCTCGTGGTAAGCCACTATCCTCTTTGTAAATATAACTTTTTTAAATGCATCCAAACGTGGCAGCATGATGACTTTCTGTAAATCTACAGAGAAAATGCTGCCATCATTGAGCTCCGCATCCTTTTTGTATAATTCTCTTGCTTCTTCATATCTTATCTTGTGATTAATATATTGTTGGCAATCATCACAATCATTATTTAAATTATCTGCATCGTGACCGTGTAAACAAAATTTTTCACAAAATTCACACTCTTCATGGCCCAAAGTTGCAAATGAAATATTTTTTTTCTTTATAGCTAACCTATAATATTCGTATGATATTTGTTGTTCTGGGTATTTGTGTGTAAAATCATTGTGCATCATGGTGATGGTCACATCACTTGGCAAATATCTTCTAATAGGAGCATGTTCCCTCCTGTAATGAGATACAGTTGGTTCAAATGATTCGATGTGCGCATCTATTAAATCGTCATGTTTATACTTCCTATCCGAAACATGTTTGCCACGTCCATCAGCTAATGGGGCTATTGCGGCAGTTGGAGTTTTGTTAAGGACCTCAAATACTGCACGGTCATTATTTGGTTTGTATCCTAGTGTTGTTAGGAAAAACTTCTTGCACACGGACTGCTTGATTGAGTCTTTATTACTGAAGAAGTATTTCCAGGTGTTTTTTCGTGCACCATCTTCAACACTTTTCCTCTTTACAGGCATGCGATCACATGTATTGAGGATAAATGTCTTCCTCTCCTTCCAGCCTAATTTTAAATATTGGGCGTTAATTTCAATACGTCGTCCCTCATTTATTTTGCTAATGCATTTTTTTTTGCAACAATCAACAATTGGCTTTAGTGCATACTTTGCTTTATATAGTTGCATCTTACGTTCTTTTCTTTCTTTGACACTTAAAGAATTACTTCTGCGAATTCGTATAGTTCCCTTTTTAGTAAATTGGACCGATGGAGATGCAGCTTCGTCCAATGGTTTATCCACAGATTCCTTTAACACTGAAACAAGATAAAATTTAATTATTACTTCGTTTAAGTACAGAACACGGTACAACCTATGTTATACATATAATTTATATGTTATATAAAATATACATAATAGATATACCAATTTCTTCTCCATTTTCCACCACATCCACTCTACTCTTTAAGACATCTTCGTCCATTGAAGGTTGAAGTGTTGTGACAGACTCATCTAAAACTGATAATTTAATGCATTGTATATCTGCATAAAAAATGTCACACAAGTTATCATATAATAAAAAAAACACGTAATATTCTTACCAATATCTCCTCTATCCTCCATAATTTCTGCCTCATACACTACGACTTCCATTTTATCAACAGTTACTTCAGATACAACTGTTCTAGAATCCTGTAAAAGAAAGGGTAAAACATAACCAAGAAGAACCATACATTAGGTATTTACACAGTTATTTGTAGATTTTTTATAGTGAAACTTTGAGAAATTTGTAGAATATTTATTATTATGATCAATAAACACAATACACATAACCTTAGATACATAAAATAGATTGAGACTACGGAAATATATAAATAAAACACTTACATCTAACAATGAAGATTTACATTTGTCTGAAGCACGATGTAGCATATATTAAGTCCTTGACATCCAAGTGTTGCAAATATCACACAACATTTTATGATTTTTATAACACTCTACGATAAATTGAATAGTCCTAAATATAATTCACTATAAAAATAATCTTTACCGAAAAAAAAGAAACACCAAATACGAAAACACGAACGAACAACCAACGCACACACTAATCAGATGACGCTTGCAGTTGCAATGACGCCGTATTCGTCATAGATAACCCACGTTTTTGTCTGTGTTGCCAAGTTAAAAAGCAGTAAAGCAATGATACTATGAAAAAATGCAGTACGTACGTTGCAAATACTGCATTTTTAATTTGTATTGCGATAATGCTGCGTTTTTACTAAGTATTACACTATATTTTTTTAACTTACGGCAAAATGAACTATGGGTTTGATGACTTCGGAATATACCACAATATTTTTATATAGAGCGTTATTACACAGAAAACGATGTTAAAACGTTTGGTGCAATAATCTCGATTTTTCAATTTTTGCGATTACTGCGTTTTTTCTTAGGACGGCAGAATAGTTCTATAATATTACGAAAATAAACATAAACTTACATATTTCCAACTCTATGGATCATTGAGTTAACAACAATGTATCATATCTTGACGCCTTTTAATAAGTGCACCTGTACAATCAAATTCTTCCAATACAAGCTTACCTGTTTGATGTTCTTCAAGCAAATTACGTATGTTCTACATAATGAAGATCTTCATTTGTATAAGTTGAAAATTTAGTTTTTTTAAATTATAAAAAGAATTTATTTAATTGCTAAAATAATGTGGAGTAATCCTGGTTTATTAATGTTTGTTTAAAATAATGAACTAAGTACAAACGAAACACTTAAAAAAATAAGGTATACTTACAAAGTCAATGTTATCCAATCTTAAAGCAACCTGAACATCAGTAGTAGAAACATTTAGTTCAACTTTTCTTGACTTTAAGACGTCAGGTGAGGGTTGAATTGTTGATGATAATGTTGGTGACACAGCTGACTCATCAAGAGGGCTTTTTAAAGTTTTAGTTAAACTAAATTTATATATATATATATATATATATATATATATATATATATATATATATATATATATATATATATATTTTATATATAAAATTTATATATATATATATATATATATATATATAAAATTTGCCTTGGCTATTCTGTTCGTAAGTTAGACATACAATACATACAAAGACATACATACAAAGCCACAGAGCTATGACGCAATGACAAACCTCTTTTTTTAATCCTTTTTTTTTTAAGTTTTGATTAATCGTATTTTAAAGCTGATTTTACATGGCAAATAAAAAATAAACTGGTCGTAATTAAATTATAGGCGATTATTTTTACTTTGAAAATATGTTAGAATGCAATATAAAATTTTTGTTATGTTGATTATTTTTAGGTGTAGCCTAAAAAAAATCAATCCGCACATGATATATATATTAGTATATATAAGTATATATATATATATATATATATATATATATATATATATATATATATATATATATATATATATATATATATATATTGACAATTCAGTAAAGTATACCAATTAATGAAAATAAAAAATCATTTCAATACATTGCAATGATACAAATAGTGACGTAAAATAATATGCTCATATATACATGTAGGTTTTAAACAATGAACAGCATCAAAAGGTTTATAATCTGCTAAGTCATTGGCTTTCAAAGGTTTACACTCTGAATCAAGAGAACAAAAACACGATAGAGTTAGATCACAATACATGTGGACAAGCCACTTAAGTCCAATAAAATAAATTACATTGTGATGAACATATATTTGTTCAATTTTAACAAATGAAGGTTCACCTTCATCACTAATAGAATGAAGTACAGACATCTTAGTTTGGTGCTTTTGACCAAAAACGACAACTTTTTCAGTCATAAACATCTTCTTTTTCACCAATAAGAGGTAAAATTAATGACTTATGCCTATTATCTGAAGATGAAATAATCGTACCATTTCCAACTTCTGAAATCCCTTTTAATGGACATTTAATCATCCAAACAAAAGCATGAGAAAGTTGGTGTCTGCTTGCGAAAGAAAATGCTATATTTTTAAAGTTAAAAATGATATAAGCAAGGCGCTTAGAAAAGTTATGCTTTGCTTCAAACCGCATTACCATCATATGTAAAAGTAGTCCGCTACTCTCTATTATAGTACCATAGTAAATCATTTTGTGATGTTTGTATAAAAGTCTTTTATCAGGATAACATATTTTAAATAACTCATGATGCTCTGATACAAGATCTTTTAAGTACAAAACATGCAACATTACAGAGTTTGGCAATAAAATAATCTCTATCAGCTGTTTCAACATTTGATACAAACGCCATTTTAAATTATCTACTTTGTCAATAACATCAGCTAAAATACATGGCAAATGTAAAAACAAAATTAGCATCTGAGCTGACCGTTGTCCTAGCATTGAGCTGTGACTTTTTAAATGTGACTTACTTATAAAACAAGGCTTTGAGTTACTAACCAGACCATAATTCATTGTATTAATGCGACAATTAAGCTCAGAGAGATTAATAAGCTTCAAGTCATAAATTATGTGGTGCAAAAATAACTTGACTTCAAACGGAATTACACCTTCGAATAAATCATGCTGAGTCATTACAAGCACACTCTAAGAATAAATCCGTTATATACAACGAATTGTATCTGTCGCTATTGCACTAACGGGATATCCGTTAAGTTAACGAATTAAAATTTTAACGAATTGAAGTCCGTTAGGAATTGTCCGTTGAATTTACGGATTTATTTCGTTAGTGCAACGAATAATCCGTTAAAACTAAGGAGTTATTACACTAGGCAGCAATTTTTCCGCGGTTGTTATTCCTATGAAATAAATGTGTTAATAAGTTGTTTTAGTGATTATTTTGTTAAAATCACTAAAATCTAAAATTAGAAAGGCCAGAATTGTGACTTCATAACCAAATAATCTTTATATTTGTTCATGTATGCATTTTTATTTAATTGCATTATTTTATTTCAATATTTTACATTAAAACGTTTTAACCAAAAATTGAAAACTAATCAAATATTTATAATATTTAATCCAATATACTTTAAATTACAATAAAAATACTTAAAAAAAATTTTTTAATACACTATACTCCAGCTAGTACATTTATACAAAAAACACACATATATATAATAGATGTTTAAAATAAACCAATGCCAAGATTTTGGTCGCTAGTTTTGGTTTGGTTGGTTTAAAAGCTAGTTTAGAGGTTTTGGTTTAGAATACTGTTGTTACTCGTACACAGGTTCGCACTTTAAATCGGACACCATGCTGTCAGCTCCTTAAAGATTAATATAAAATAAAATGAAGAAAATATGAAAACTTAATAACATACCTAGTATAGAACCAAAGTAAAATGTTACTGATTATATTATATATAAATTATATTATATATAAATTTCTATTCTAAATTTTGTTATTTTAATTATCTCTGATATCGTTTTTTAAGGATTAAGTTAAATGGAACAAGTAAATTATATCTTTATTAAAATGTAAATTAAAAAAAAAGTATAAGATTACCTTGACATTTTCTGATAACTAAAAGACTCTATACATTTCACATACATCAATACCTATCAGGAGCAAAAAATAAAGTCTCTAACCTTTTAAAAACTATGATAAATCAAAACAAGATTAAATATGCAGACCAAAAAAACAACAACTAACTATATAAAAAAATTAATTTTACAACTTATTTAAACTTACAGTGTCATACCACTTGTCACATGTTTAAAATAGCTAATTCTAAAATAATAGTGAATATAGAATATAGTTGAATAATAGTTAATAAAGTGTGATATAAAGTCTTAACTAAACTAAAAAAATATGCACGCCAAAAGAAATGCAAGTTAAAATACAATTTTTTTAAATTTACTAATTCAAACTTACAGTGGGATACCACATGCCACATGTCTAAAACAGTAAATTTTAAAATAATATAAACACGCCAGATATAAACTTATTTTTATTATTATTAATAGTTGAAACTCAACTAAATAAATATGCACGTCAATAGAAATGCAAGTTACAATATAAATTTTACAACCAATTTAAACTTACAGTATGACAGCGTATACCAAATGTCTAAAATAGCAAATTCTGAAATAATATAAACATGTCATACACAAACTTAGTTGTAATCTAATTATATAAACATGAACGTCAAAAGAAATGGAAGTTAAAATATAATTGTTTTTAAATATACTAATTCAAATTTACAGTGGGATACCACATGCAACGTGTCTAAAACAGTTAATTTTAAAATAATACAAACACATTAGATATAAACTTAGATTAAACTCAACTAAATAAATATGCAAGTTACAATATAAATTCTACAACCAAATTAAACCTACAATGTGACACTAAATGCCGTGTCTTTAAAGCAGCAAATTCTAAGATAGTATAAATAAATAAACATGAATGTTAAAAGAAAAAGAAGTTCCAATATAAATTTTTTAATTTTACAACTAGTTTTAACTTACAGTGGGATAACAAATGCCATGTGTCTAAAACAAAAAATTCTAAAATAATATAAACACACCAGTATAATCTTAGTTTTTGATATTGGATGCCACATGTTTAATTTGGAAATTAATAAAAATTGCAATTTATAAAAGCATATTAACTAGCCATGTTAATATGCTTTTATAAATATACCTTTCAAAGATGTAAACATTTTTAATTTTACAACTGATTTAAACTAATATGGTATGTTACAACATGTCATATGTCTAAAATATAAAGTTAAACAAGGCTATAAATAATCCATTTAGTCTATATTATAGAAATAATTGTTCAACTAACCCTTTACTTCTAGTAAAAGATTAGTTGAACTTTTATTTCTATAATATAGACTATATGGATTGCATATATTCTTGCATAATTTTTTAGATTTAGACATGTAGTAACTTACCATATGCTATATGTATTAACTTACCATATATGTTATTATATATTTTTTAGTAATACTAATGGGTTTTAATTTAAAATAAAATAAACCTTATTGTTAAATTTTCTGTATAAAGCTTTATATAGAAAATTTAAAATAAGTTAAATAACCTTCGAAATAACATAGCGTAATTTAAATTATATTTATGCATTTGCTTTGTCTACTAAATGTAAAGCTTTTTAAAAAATGGAATATTACACTTACTGCAACCAACTTTTATCTACGATGTAAATATAAATGTAAGAAAAACGCATTCAAAACTTTATCATTTTTAAAATAAAAAGATATAATATACTGAAAAATTTTTTTTGACCGATTAGAATATTTAATTGGTTGAATTAACGAAATTTTAAAGAATCCGCAAATAGTTAATTTTACTCCGTTAATTTTCTGGTTTTTGGTAACGAATTAATCCGTTAATTTGACAAAAAAGCGCAATCTGTTATTTTTTTAACGGACTGTTTTTAGAGTGCAGGATGGTAATACTTCAAATTTTTTAAAGTTGAGGGCCGCTTTATGCCACACTTTTTAGATGAAATGGTACCATTTTTAAGCTGTTCAATATGTTTCTCATATGATTGTTGTGTCCTCATTGTAAGAAAATATTCACTAAAGACTTTTTGCATATCATTCTGAGTTGCCATGCACAAGTCACAAGCAAATAAAGCAGTGCTAAAATTTTCCATGTATCCAAGAATTGCATGTAGCCCTAAATTATCACCAACAACTTGTGTTAAAAAACAACGAATATTTATCTATTTTCCATCACAAAAATCATAAAAACCCTCATCGTGTAAGTCTTTTAATTGCTGAACAATAACTTCTATAACAGGATCAGTGGTGTACCGTTTAATGTCTTTCGAATGTGCTAAAGCCAACAAATGAATATTGCTTAACGCAGAATTTGCAGCTGGTGGAAAGTTTTTATTATGAAATAAAATGCGCCTAACTTGTGCATTCCAGTTTTAGATCGAAGTGGATTTGATGTCTCTACCTCATCAAAGTATATCTGAATAAATACATGAATACTGTTAAGAAAATAATGTTTGGCATATGTTTTTAGCTGTCTGCCATGCTTACCGTCTTACCAATGTTCTACTATATCATTTGCTGACTCATTATTTCTTTTTAAAATTTTTCAAGTCTCAGGTTGTTGCAAAACCAATTTTAACGTTTTCTCAATTGGTATAAGGTAAAATTTATTTTTGACACTCACTTGCATTTGTTGCTTTGTTGATCTGTCTCGCTTAACATCCCACCGATCTCCTATTGAATAAGCTTCAGGTTCAACATAGAGACCTTTTACTTTAAGATAATTCACCATTTTATAATGAGTATCAATGCCTTTAGAAGGATTTTTCCGGTTGTTGAATTCTTCTAAAAGAGTATTAAATGTTGCAGTATCACATCCGTATGTTTTTAACACAACGTCTGTCTTGGCAAGCAGATAATAATATCATTTAGCAACTCATTTACACTATCCGCTATGAACTGAGATGTACTCAGAGAAATGGAACTAGAAGATTGTAGAGACATCAAAAATTTTAATTCTGCCTGTGAAACACCATACTCATCTACAATAAGTGCAATAAAGACACTTTCTTTAGTTACACTTTTTTAGTTAAACATTCAAAATATGAAACCTCATTGAAATCTTTGGCTAAGTATTCGTTTTCCGTATTTTGCATAGTAATATCTGAATGGTTAACAACTTCTTTCAAAGTATCATGACACATGAGTTTTTTTAATGTGTTTACGAAACACTTTATAAAGTGTGAATGTGCGCATGCAACCATCCACATTGCTTTGTAAAAAACAAGGTTCAAATAACTGGTGCGTGTTTCTTAAATGATAAGTATAATCATTAATGGAATGAAAGTGTTTTGTACACAAGTAACAACTCAGTTGTAAAAAACAAAATATTGTGTAAAATATAAAAATAATGCTACACGAATGCATTCTTTTAATTATCATAACTAAAATATATCAAACTAAAAAGATATTTTTAATAAGAAATAAAAAATATTTTCTGCGCTCCATATTTTATTATAATTAATTTTATTAAACTGTTAACCTTTTTTCCCTCAATTATGGCTTGAATTTTAATGGCCCGGCCCATTTTGATGCCCATTGCATGCATCAATAATGCGTTCAACTCCAAAAAAGCTAATCCATCAATTTCTTCACCTAAAATAATAATCGATAACGTAAAAAGTGTTTCAATAAAGTTAAAAGACAGTATTTCATATTTAAATACAATTTATATAACATAAAATTTATAAATCAAATATATTTTGTAATAATTATTACAATTAACAATTTGAAAAAATAAAATTAAAAATTCAAGTGCACCTCTACTACCTATTTACTTTAACTATTGACTTCTTCAGTTATGCAGTATGTGATTATACACATCACATACTGCATAACTGTTATAATAAAGACCATATAGAAGTATATCATATTATATACATATATATATATATATATATATATATATATATATATATATATATATATATATATATATATATATATACATATATACACACTAAAAAAAAAGGTAGAAATCTTTAAGGGTATATCACATATCCTACCCCTTAAGGTAGAAAATAATACCCTACATATTAAGGTATTTTAATCTACCTTTATATGAGGTAGAAAAAAACACCTCAAGGTATAAATTTCTACCTTAAGCAAGGTAGACAAATTTACCTTAAAGGGTAGATTTTTCTACCATAAAAGGTATATCATAAATCCTACCCTTTAAGGTAGAATATTATAAAGGTACTTTTTTCTACCCTTGCAAAAGGTTTTCCTTTCCACCCTTTAAGGCATACTTTTTTTTAGGTTTTTGTAAATTTTGATGGGTGATTGCGATGGCATTTGATATTTTGCAATGCAAGGAAAACAACACATTATTGAAAAAAGCTATTTAATTTTGTTTGCAGCGTTAAATTTACAACAATTTGTTCAGCAAACGCTGAATCGGAGGATTAACATTGTACTCGCTAAGCCCACAAACATAGTTCGCAAGAAATGTCAATGTAAAAACCCAATAACACGCTATTAACACTTTGATTGCTTCATCGATGTTTTAAACGTTACAACCAACTTGACCATCAAGATAAATAGCAATATGCACATCTTCAAAATGCAGAATATTTCCTTGGTTTGAACAAGTTATTGTTAGATTTGGTGTTCTCAGAGTTGATTCCTAAAAAAAAGCTATAATCAATTAGATGGACAAATTATATTATGTAAATTTACAATCAAATTCAACAACAATCAAATGTTAAAAAAAACCATTAAAATAAAAGTTGCCTGTAGGCAACATTTTTTATATATCATAAAAAGTGGATCTTGTAAGCATGTATGAGACCTTATTTATCGTGATCCATCTTTCAATAGCTTCACCAAATACGGCAGGCAAGCACAACATAGATGCTTTAATTTTTTGTGCTAAAAATATTTGGAAAAGTTTGTGTAACAAAAAAACAAATAATCACTAAGTGAATAATTAAATAAAACACAGATGATAACCTTCCATATTGATATTCGACTCATATCCTATAGCCGCTATAATACTATTGAATAAATCGTTGTTTTTGGCTTTGGCTTTTCCTGACTTGACTATCTCTAGAATTTTAATGGACCTTTCAGCTGTAAAGAACTGGTTTATTTTAGCTATTCCATCGTTTTCAGTTATCATATGTACTTCTTCTAACAATATAAAACATAATTATTATATAAAAATTTACAAATTAAAATTTATTATTTATTTTCCCTATTGATTTGAATAAAATTTAATGTTTGTTACGGTAAACCTCTGTAGCAATCCTCAAAGCAGGATATTCTTCTAATATTTGTGTCGTGGTGGAATTAAGAATAACTCTCCTTGTGTGCACGAAAGTCTTTGCCATTCTATCTCTTACCTTTGCCAAATCAGGAAAAGTTTTTTTTAATTCATTTGACATAGTTACTTTATGAGCACTACAGCTTAGCAAATCCTCCATATTGTTTGTTTGCAACTTAAATAAAATTTAAGAAAAATTTTACTTATTAAATGCTTCATTAAATACTTTTAAATTGCACAAAATATTGATATATACAGAATTAAGATAATCGTGTTGCTAACCTCTGAACGCTTCTGTTTTGGAGTTACCGCATAATCGGTAAAAATTTCTTTTATTTTTAGCTCTGAACTAAACTTTTTGTGCTCTTGTATTAATGACAAATTATGCATTTTTGTCCTTTCAGACTTAAATCTTGTTTTTAAGCTGCCTTGCCAAGTTGCCTTAAAATAAATAAATAAATATCTATCTATCTATCTATATATTTATATATATATATATATATATATATATATATATATATATATATATATATATATATATATATATATATATATACATGTATATATACATTTACATAAACATATATTCCAAATACAAATATTGGTTATAAAGTTCTAATGGTTTTTAAAGCAGCATTTATTTTTATATATAACCTTTATACAAAATAAAAACACAACTTTACACTTACGTATGGCTTTGATGCCTTTTGACGTAAAAATACAATTTTATCTTGTAACTTTGGATAGGTTTGCACAATAGCTTGACACACTGCCTGATACATCTGAAAAGTTGGATACCTAAAATTGAGAAATTTATTTCTGTAAAATTTATTTATATATATATATATATATATATATATATATATATATATATATATATATATATATATATATATATATATATATATATATATATATATATATATATATAATACAACAGTTAATAAACCACAAAGAGGTTTGTTTATACAACCCTCTACTAATCCTGTAACTTGGGAATACAGAAACAAATTTAATTAACGTGCCTTTTTGAAAATTCCTTTTAAAACTGTAACAATATTGTAATGAGAAAATGTACAAATGTTACCCTTAATAATAACAACTTACTACACAATTCCCAATCTTCGCCATCACGAATAGCGAGTAACACTTCACCCGAAAGACTGAGTAAATCATCAGTCTCTTCTATTTCTGTTCCATCAATATTTAAAACAATTTTAGCTGGGGAAGATTGGAATTTCTCTAACACTGGAATAAGAATTTAAAAATTAGGAGTTAGTTAATTTTTTTTTTTTTTTTTATAAACTGGGCTAGCTCTTCACAAGAATACTACTAATAATTTATTATATTAAATTTTTTACCCTTTACAACCAGCATATCAAAATTTTCAGCAATAATTGCCTTTTTTACTAAGCGATCACCTGACCATATCTTGAAAAGAGGCATTTCCAATTTGTTTAGTGTTTTAATTCAAATAAAAAAAGACAAATATAAATATATAACATTTATAAAAAAAAAATTTCAGATTTAATAGTATAAATCTGAAATTAATATAATTCGTCCCTGGGATCCAAAATAGGATCCCAGGGACGAATGATTGGCATGTTCTCCAGGTATCACAACAAACAAATTGTCAGAGCACTCTATAGTATAAAAATCAGCAAATTCAATATATTCTTTTGCTATCTGCAAAACACAGCAAATAATCCAAGTTCCTTGAAACAATAATATATATTTAACTTTTCCAAATAGGGGCATGTCATTGCTAGCTTTTTTCTGACAAATAATAGACGTTGTTGTATAAAAGACCTGTCCATTAATTCTAAGTTTAGTAGTGTATATAAACTGCTCAGCTTCATTTATTTGATGGGTGTTACCAAACCTATTTTTAATAGCATCTACAAGTTCAATTGGAAATGAATTTATAGATAACATTTTCTGACTACCTAAATTTTCTGGACCCTTAACATATCGGCTTTTTCCAAAATTTGTAACACACTTACGCATTTCATGTCGTTGTGTCAAAGTGAATGTTATATTTTTAAATTTTTTTACAAGGCGTGCAATCTGTTTAAAATATTGATGTTTAGACTCAAATCTCATTACCCAGAGGTGACGCAGAGGTCCAAAATGTAATAGTAATCTAGGATAATGTACTAAATAATGGATTTTAGGTACAAATGCAACAAGACTAATGCATTCAAGTAGAGAATGGTGTCTTTGAATGAGATGCTCAAGAATAGGTATCCCATTTATATCAATTTCTGGAGCCAAAATGATTTGTACTATCTGTCGACAAAGCAAATGAAGCTGCAAAAAATTATTATTTAGGAGTATATCAGGATTTTTTACTAGGCAACTGACAAAAACTGGCAAAAAATGAAATAGTGACCATCTCTCTACTGCTTTTCCATGGATTCTTTTATTAGTTGTTCCCAAATTATTTGGAATACATGATACAGCAGGTTTATCACAACTATCTGGAATGCTATACTTGAATTTTGCTATTTCTTCTTTTAATTGAACAATAGTGAATAGTTTTTCTTTGATAAGATTTCTTACAACAATTGAAAAATTAACACTCAAAAGTCCTTCAAGTCCATCATGCATAAAATCAGATGGGAAACATTCACTTGCATTGAAATATTGTAAACTAGATAAAGAACAACGAGAAAGAACACCATATACAGCACCAAGTGACTTATCAGTCTTCACTAGTTGAACATGATATTTATGTAAATCTATTGTTCGCAACTGACACGAAGATTTTGAATGAACATCTGAAAGAAACCTAAACGAAACCATGCAGTGGCGACAAATTCTGCCAGATGAAAAGCAAGTAGAAAAACCACCAAAAAATCGAGAGGATAAGTTATCACCAGAGAATGTAACAATAGAACCATTTACATGATCAATACTGCCATCAATATTTAAATCAAGTCCATATATTTCAAGCAATTTCACATTATGCATAAGTTTATTTAGAACTTTATCATATCCAAACATTTTTGACAGCACTGTAGTGGGCAACTAATACTAAATGAATGTGATCGAGATTTGCCATAAATGAGTGTCAACATTCCCAACTATAAAATAAAAAGTTGAAATCTTGTGAGTACCCCGTCTGCTTCCTAGTGCATTACAGATTTCTAGCTCATCATTATACAAATGTAAACGTATAAATTTATTGTTATTAACATTTAATGGTTTAAAATGTGTGCCATCAGAGTAATCTCGTATAATGCCATCATTTTCAACTGGTTTTAGACGATTTCGTTCACAGCTCGCCCATATATCATCTTTTTGAAGATTGTTTTTTAAAGTTTGAAGAATTGGAATATAATAACCGATTTTTTTTTTCAGATTTTTTTCATCATGTTTTGCATGTTGCAAAAATATTATTACCTGTGTTTGTTATAAGAGGTGGCGACAATCTTTCACTGCTTATTTCATTGTTAGTACCATCAACACTTTCATTAAACTGCTAAAGTTCATTAGCTGGCATGTCAAGTTCTTTTGGTGGAACAAATTCAAGGTTATTTAGCATATATAACATTTTAAGATGATCTGTTGCGAATAATTGGGACACTCTGTCATAAATTGAGGGAAATGTTAATATTTGGTTCAACACAGAATCGTCATCTGATTCAATATTTAGCATCTTAAGCCTTTGTCTTATTAATGATACAAAACTATTTTGAAACAAATCAAGTAAATATTTAACTATATTACATATATCAGAAGCTGCTGAAAGAGGTAACATGTGTTTTTCGCTGTAGCTGTGGTATACATACATCATTTCCAAAACATTTTAAAAAATCAGAAAACTCTGTATTAAGTTTATTGGCATTTTCATCCACACTCTCAATAATTGTTATGTTCTCTGTTTCCTTTTCCACGATATTTTCTTCTCTATCACTTTCTTCTGTATGTTCACATGTAATTTCAGATAGATCAGTCAGTTTATCGGAAATTATGGAAACAAGATGAGACGCATGAAATTTGAAAGGATGACACCTAAATGTATTAACAGTGTTATAACGATAACCACAACTATCTAAACTACACGACAAACTCAGTTGTTTTTCATGACTATGCTGCAACATCATATGATTGATTAATCCTCGTGCATTGTAAAACCCTTTTCTACAGAACTCGACTTGACAATAATAGTCCATACTATAATATAATAATAGTCCACGCAGTTCCAAATCTGCAAAAGTAGTTTATAACAATTAACTTTAAATGCCGCATGCATCCTGAAACCGGATGCTGCTATTAATCTGTTAATAACAAATGTAAAAAAGTATTTCTAAGTTATTTAGCTTTTAGTTTTTTACCTGAAAAAAAAAATATATATATATATATATATATATATATATATATCTATATATATATATATATATATATATATATATATATATATATCTATATATATATATATATATATATATATATATATATATATATATATATATATATATATATATATATATATATATATATATATATATATATATATATGTATATATGTATATATATACATATATATATATATATATATATATATATATATATATATATATATATATATATATATATATATATATATATATATATATATATATATATATATATATATATATACATATTTTTAAGAACTATGTTATTTTTATTTATTATTTACTTCGTCTGTCTTTTGGGTAGGAGCTTTTCAATTTGTAATATATTTTTAGGGTTTGCGAGCCGCATTTTGGTGACATGGTGACATCTAACATTAAGGTAGAAAACTATGCATAGGTAGAATTTTCTTCCTTTTTTTACCACTTAAACTTACGAGTAGATTTTTCTACCCTAAAATATTAGTTTCTACCCTCGGGTTGGATAAGATACCCGTATTATACCTTTATATATATATATATATATATATATATATATATATATATATATATATATATATATATATATATATATATATACATATTTTTAAGAACTATGTTATTTTTATTTATTATTTACTTCGTCTGTCTTTTGGGTAGGAGCTTTTCAATTTGTAATATATTTTTAGGGTTTGCGAGCCGCATTTTGGTGACATGGTGACATCTAACATTAAGGTAGAAAACTATGCATAGGTAGAATTTTCTTCCTTTTTTTACCACTTAAACTTACGAGTAGATTTTTCTACCCTAAAATATTAGTTTCTACCCTCGGGTTGGATAAGATACCCGTATTATACCTTTATATATATATATATATATATATATATATATATATATATATATATATATATATATATATATATATATATATATATATATATATATATATATACATATTTTTAAGAACTATGTTATTTTTATTTATTATTTACTTCGTCTGTCTTTTGGGTAGGAGCTTTTCAATTTGTAATATATTTTTAGGGTTTGCGAGCCGCATTTTGGTGACATGGTGACATCTAACATTAAGGTAGAAAACTATGCATAGGTAGAATTTTCTTCCTTTTTTTACCACTTAAACTTACGAGTAGATTTTTCTACCCTAAAATATTAGTTTCTACCCTCGGGTTGGATAAGATACCCGTATTATACCTTTATATATATATATATATATATATATATATATATATATATATATATATATATATATATATATATATATATATATATATATATATAGTATATTTATTTATATATATATATATACTATAGTATTACTATATATACATATATCTTAACTTCTTTATATCTATATAGATATAAAGAGGTCAACATATATCAGATATATACAAGTCAGTATAAGTATTTGAATTATATACATGTATGTATGAGTGTATACACTCATACATTCATGTATATAATTCAAATACGTATACTGTCTTGTTAACAAGAGATATCTCTTGTTCACAAGATGTGGCATCTAAATGTGTATTTGATATACACATCTATTTAAAAGAGATGAGTACGTAAATAAGTCTTATACGTACGTACGCGAAAAAGATGAAAACGAGCTTACTTTTAAGCTTTTCTGTAGCATCTATAGATATTCCTTTTTATAATAAATAATCAGCTAACTTTGAGTCAGAAAAGTTTTTTATGCTTATTTTTAATAAAAATTTTTAAAATAAGAGAATGTAAGCACATGTAACCTCTAAAAAGTTTAATGGCGATTGACGTTCCCGCAGAAAAATATTTTAACATTTTCAAGCAATTTACTTGATGTTTCCGGTATAGCACCTGAACGTTCGTGTAGAAAAGTTCACGCAACTACATTTGCCTGAGTTTTTCAGTAACTTTGCTCAAGGTGTTCAGGTGGTTTTCTAAAATACTAGAACTGTTACGTTTGAATTTATTTGCCTGAATGTTCATGTAAATTTTTCTACCTGAACCATTCCGGACGGAGTTTACCTGAACTTTTTTAAGAGTGTAGAATGCCAAGAATATGTATAGAGGTTATTGTCGCTAAAGATGAATAAAATGCAAGTAAATTAGTTACTAATCTAATCGGACTTTATATTAATGTTTTTGTAAAACTAATAAGGATGAAGGTATTATACATTTCATGTAGACTTAGCTTACCGTTTCTCTACAACAGTAAGTAAAACTATGGTAATTTATATTAATCATTATTAGATAAGTCTAATGATGGTGTGGCAGAAAAGTGAATAAATGCAGATTATACTTCTGATTCTAATGTAACCAAAAACATCAAAATAACTCTTAATGGCCCTGTTACATGGCCTAAATTGATTTCAGATGGACAGTGCCAATGTAATGTCTGTTACATGGCCTAAATTGATTTCAGATGGACAGTGCCAATTTAATGTCTGTTACATGGCCTAAATTGATTTCAGATGGACAGTGCCAATGTAGCATCTTACAATGTAATGTTACATCATAAAATAAGTTATAACAGTAATAAGTAAAGTACTGTAAGTAAAGAAAACGTGTATGAACAGTAAATTTAAGTGTAAGTTCATATAAATATTTAACTGCATATATATATATATATATATATATATATATATATATATATATATATATATATATATATATATATATATATATATATATATACATATATATATATATTTATATATATATATATATATATATATATAACATATATATGTGTATATATATATATATATATATATATATATATATATATATATATATATATATATATATATATATATATATATATATATATATATATATATATATACAGGGTGTATACTTAATTTCTGCCCCCCTATATCTCGGTTTAAGTATACGGTATTTTAACACATACCATTTTATTACTGTCATATCAATTTAATTATACAAAGAATATATGTTAATAGTCAGTAATCAGTATTTTGTCCATTTCTTTCTATGCATTGGGTAATTCTCCTTGGCAGGCCTTCTACTAGGCGAAAACACTCTTCTTGCGTAATGGCAGCCCACTCCTGTTCAACACGTCTGATCAACTGTTCACGATTACGAGGTCGAGGATTGTGTAAAACACTGTCCTGGAGTCTTGACCAAATATGGTCGATGACATTTAAGTCGGGCGAGTTGCCAGGCCAGTCGGTCCACACTGCTGGAAAGTCTCTTTTGATCACATTCATTGTTACTCTTGCCGTGTGGCAGGATGCTCCATCTTGCATCAGAATAACTTTATTTCTCACAGGAAAGATGGTCTTATCATCAGCTGCACGTTTGTATACAGGTAGAATAATATAACGGTAATATTGTCCATCAACAGTTTTATTTTGCTCAACAACAACCAGATCAGTTTTGCCATATCGAGAAATGCCGCCGGCTATCATAATCTTGAGACCGAATTTCGGACGTCGAACATAAGGTATTGACTCTGGTGTTGCTGTACGTACTCTTTGATTTTGACGGTTTGGAGCCGGATATAATTCAATTGGACTCTCATCAGTCCACAATACGTGAGCTCGTTTCACTTTACCATCCGGTGAGTCATCTGCGAATCCCTCTTCTTGCAAACGAGTACAAAAG